ACAATGTACTTCAAGGATCTGTGGTATTGAAAGCAAATAGCCACAGACTTAGCCAAAGGTTTTTAACACAATTCTCCTTTTCTTAAGAGATGAAGCACCAGAGAAGTCTGATCATTTAGAAACAGCGGCGGCTCCAGGCACCAGTGCTCCAAGCGCATGCCTGGGGTGGCAAGCCGCGGGGGGCGCCCTGCCAGTCCTTGTGAGGGCGGCAGTCAGGCAGCTTTCAGTAGCTTGCCTGCGGGAGGTCCGCCGGTCCCACGGCTTTGGTGACAATTTGGGGGTGGGTACGCCGAAGCCGAGGGACTGGCAGACCTCCCGCAGGCATGCCGCTGAATCTGCGGGACCGGGGACCTCCCGCAGGCGCACCGCCAAAAGCCGCCTGCCTGCCGTGCTTGGGGCAGCAAAAAAGCTAGAAAACAACAAACACCCTGAACACAATGCCCCTCGTGCTAGCTCACCTTTCCCTTGGAAGTCAATCTGTGTTCCACCTGCTGCAGCAGTTCCCCTCACCTTGAATTGGTGAAAATGACCAAAAACCCAGAGGAAAGCAACTCCTGCTCTTTCACAATCTTCCTGTCTGTGCCATCATGTGACCTCCTGATCAATCTTAACAGGTGACCACAGACCCCTATGAGGTGATTTCATTGCTAGGTGACCTCTCCTCTAATAATTCTGTTCTTCTAGGTAGCCAACCTACTATCTAAGGTAGCTCCAATTGAATGAAACAGCACTTAACTTAATGAGCCTCTATTGTCAATCCTGTGGCACTACCCCTTAGAATTCCAGTCCAACATGGAGGTGTGTAGCCGGGTGGTGACCCGCTCCAGCCCAGAAAGGGTTAAAGCCAGCCCTGGGAGAGGGCTGGTGCTGTGAGAAGCGGCTAAGCTGATGGGGAAGGCAGCCACAGCTGGGGCCACGCCCCAACCAGATTGCAGCTGGCCCTATCAAAGGCCTGTGAGCCCAGCACTTAAGAGACTCCCTCTCCAGCTTTTGAGAGGGAAGTACCTAACTGCCTGGGAGCTGAGCAGGGACCTGAGGTAGGGCAGCACTAGGGGAAAGGCAAGAGGGGCTGGGGAGCTCCAGCCTGACAACCCCCCAGGCTGCAGGACCTTGTGCAGGGCCTAAACCAGGTACTGGGGTTGCAAAGGGGCAGCCTGGGGCTAGGCAGTGGCAGCAGGTCCTACCCCCCTTTGCCAATGATGAGGAGCCATTACGGGCTGCAGTCTGCCCCAGTGAGTGGGGGCTAAATGATGACTGGCAGTAGGCACTGAGGCAAGGTGGGATTAGGGGGTTGGGGGTTCCCCAGGGAGGGGAGAGCCAGAGACTGAGAGGATACTGCTGGGGCAGAACCCCCAGATAAAGGGGCACCGAGGTCCGGGAGGGACACGGGGGCCAGTGAGTGGCGATGACACTGGCCTGCAGAGGGCACTCCGGAGCTGGAAAATGAGCTAATTCCCAGCCAGCCAGCAGGAGGCACCGCAGGGGTGAGTCGCACTTGGCTACAAGGTAAAAGGACAACAGGAAGGCAAACAAACTCCACATTCACCATGGAGTGCATTCTGCCACAGACACATATAAAGAGCTCCCTATTGAACAGAATTCAGAAGCTATACGTAGGTTCCTCAGATCACACCTGGCATGGGCAAGCAGCACTGCAGTGAGCTGGGCTGACCTT